TGCACGAACGAGACACTCCTCCAAGGGCCAACCATTCATGGGATTTATCAAATACCAGGAAAAATTAGCTCCAAACCAACAGCACTAGTGGGAGAGCGTACTTCTTTGGCGATTTGGCATTTACGCTTAGGTCATCCTTCTATAAAGACCCTTAAACAAATTACTCATGTCTCCAATCTACCATTATCGAATAAAATAGAGTTTTCATTATGTGAATCTTGTGCTTGTTCCAAAAGTCACAAACTTCCTTTTTCGAATTCTTCCATTACAAGTCACTTTCCACTTGATAATATTTTTTCTGATGTATGGGGTCCTGCGCCTGTTCCCTCCGTTGATGGTTTTAATTATTTTGTCTTATTTATTGACTTTTTTAGTCGATATGTGTGGCTTTATCCCATTAAACGAAAGTCTGATGTGTCTCTTATTTTTCCACGATTTAAAGATCTTGTTGAAACTCAATTTGGGTGCAAAATCAAAAACTTACATACTGATGGCGGGGGCGAATATGTTGCCCTTCGTCCTTTTCTATCTACCACAGGGATCTCTCATTTTATCACCCCTCCTTATACCCCAGAACTCAATGGCATCAGTGAACGACGCAATCGTCACATTGTTGAGACTGGTCTTGCGTTGCTTCATACTGCCTCCCTTCCACCCAAGTTTTGGACTTATGCTTTTCAAACATCTGTCTACTTAATTAACAGACTCCCATCCTCCATTTCACAAATTTCTCCGTTTGAAAAACTATTTCATGTTCGTCCCAATTTTCGTAAACTTCGTGTTTTTGGGTGCTTGTGTTATCCATGGCTTCGACCTTATAATTCTAACAAATTACAATATCGTTCTCGTCCTTGTTTATTTTTAGGATATTCTATAGATAACTTGGGTTACAAATGCTTGGACTTGAGTTCTAGAAAATTGTTTTTCTCCCGCCATGTGGTGTTTGACGAGTCTACCTTTCCTCACAAATCTCAGTCCACTGTCCCTATTTTACCCTCTACCTTTTTACATGCCAATGAGTCGTCACC